AAAAAAAAAAAAAAAAAAAAAAAAAAGAATTATGTCACATGTTCTCTTCACCTGTGGGCCATTTTCTTTTAACAGTTGGGTGTCGAATATCATCAATGAAAGCCTTTTATTCTATCTTGAAATGCAACCAGATATCAATGGAGGCTCTTTGAAACAGGTCAGAAGTGCAGCCGAGACCACGTGGTTCATGACGGTAGGTCTATCTTAATTTAAAATGTTCTTGCTTACATCTGGCCTGGGTCCACGAGCTAGCTGTTTTCATTCAGTGTTGGGGTCGTTATTAAATGGACATGACTCTGGTAAATCAACTTGGCAAGTGAATCAAACCTTTCAGGCTGATTTAAAATATCAGGGAGTTTCTCTTGAAGAAATGTTTCAGACTGAAAAAACCATAGGGATGTAGGTATTGCTTATAACATTGTCCATAATTATAAAGCATTATAGATAACCCACATTGTTTTAAACAAAAGGGAACGGTTAAGTTAATGATGGTCTTTGATCTTGAGGAATGTTATGCCGACGTCGAAGATGACAGTGTAAAAAAATGACAATTGTGAAATCTAGTGTTAAGTGAAAAATGCAAGATCTAAAAATTATACTGATTTCAACTACCTAGTAACACGTGCATGAAAAAATATTGGTGAGAAATACACAAAATCATGATAAGGTGGAAAGAGCATGGGTCGCTTCCCTCAGCGTTTTCATCATATTGCATTTCCAAATACAAAAATCCATACACGAGCTGTTAGTGGAGAGATGCACAGTGCCCTACACAGAATTAAGATGTATGTTGCTTCAGAGTCGGGGAAAGCTGATGCAGGAGGGTAAGACCCACATTGACTGCCTCCACCCCTGCCTGTGCCGTGGTCACGTGCAGGGACCACATGTAAGCAGAGTTTCCTAGACTGACAGGCTCAGGTGCCTTTGTGCAGTCACATCCTAACAGGGGCGCGAGGGGCAGGGCCCCGAGTCCCTGCGAGGGAGCACGGCCACGGGCCAGAGGTGAGACAGCCCGGCTGGGCTGCGCAGGGCCTTCCCTCTCCCGCCTCCCCGCCGCGGTCTGACGCAGGTCCTCTCCCCACCCCACCTCCTGTGTCTTCAGGCACCTTTGAGGGCCCAGCACCGCCAGCCAATCTGTCTCGCCCCACACCGGCCAGTGGGGCAGGTCGCAGTGAGGCCAGCCCAGCGGGCCCCGAGTCACCCTGGGAGCACCCAGTGCTCTGATTCCCACCGTCCCACCCTGACTCACCCGTCTCTCTGTCCTCCCTGCCAGGGGATACTGAATCCAGCCCAAGGGTTCCTGTTGTCCCTGGCCTTCTACGGCTGGACAGGCTGCCGCCCGGCTTTTCGGGCTCCCAGGAAGGAGATCCAGTGGGAATCGATGAGCACCTCGGCCGCCGAGCCGAGTCCCCCGTCCCTGAGGGGCTCCTGTGAGCCCCGGGAGAGCCCCGCTGCCGGGAAAGAGGTGCGGGCTGGCGGGCACACTTCCGACGAGGCCGTGAGCCTGCTATCTGAAGGTAAGAGCCCCTCCGCCAAGGCAGGCGGACGGCGGGGCCCCTGGCTCCCCTGGAAATGCTTTATAAACGGCCACGTGGCTGGTGCATAGCATTTCTGTCCTGATGTCTGGAACCTGCTTCAAGGCGAGAGTGGAAAGTGACTGCATTAGGCCTGCATCGCATCATCCACCTCTCCTTTTACTATGACCGTGGTACCTTTCCTCTAGTTATTAAGCACCGTAGCCTTGTAATAATTATAAGTGGCTCCACCTTGGGCTGGATGGCCTTTTGAATAGGAGCAAAACTGCCACTTCAAACCCGTCGCGAACGTTTGCCTTAAGACAACGAATGGTACAACCTGTCACGAACGTTTGCCATCAGACAATGAATGGTACGACCTGACCTCTGCAGCTTTTAGATGCAGCTTGGTCTGTCCACCTCATTCGGGGACATTTAAGGGAACACGCTGGTCGTCCGGTGCTGGCTCTTCTGATCTGCCCTTTTCATTTCAAGACTCTAGCACTGTGGTCCTCAGATGGGTCCTGTTTTTAAACTCCTGTTTAATCTGATTTGGGGTTATGTCTATTAACCCAGCCGACAAGGAGGAAGAAAGTTCAAGGCCCCAATAATGTCTCTCTAAAGACTGTCATCTACTAAACCTATTACATACATTTTATATTTATATATTCATGTATACTATTTATATATGTAAATATATATATAAATAAATATGTATATATATTATATAATAATAATAAAATAATAATATATGTATAAATAAACCTATTATATGTACTTTTCATTAAACATACTGTAACCTTATAATTTATCATTTGCTCTGTATTCTGAATTTACTATTACAAAAAGCTCACTTATATTCTAATCAAGATGGGTAATGAGAGAGAAGAATCACTAGACCTATGGTCCTTATTCCTAACGAAATCTCAGGGACTGTCATGGTTATGATAACTGATTAATTTTACCGTCCCTGGTCTATGCAGACCTTTATTCCCTTGAAAGATTCTTCTTGAGCAGACATTTTGCTGTTAGCATTGAGTAACAAGACTGGAAATTCTTTACAAGAAGCGGACACATGTTTGCAGCACCTCCTCTGGGGGTCAGGGGGTTGATTCCCACAAATGCTGCTTGGGGAGGAGGCCACCCCATGCCCTCCTTCTGTCCCCACTGAGGCCCTGAAGCCCCTCCCTCTTCCCACTTTATCACACTGGGGCTGGTTGAAAACGCCTTTAACCAGAATGCATCACCCTGCAGCCCATGTACCGTCTTGCACTCACGCTTGACCACTGCACGTGGTAAGGGCCCAACAGTCGTTTGTAATAATTATGTTAAATTACACATTTTTGATGGGAAATTAGTTCTAAAAGGCCTAAGAGTAATTAATTGTAAGATGTAAAGACTTCTTAGACATAAGATTTAAAGAATTCTTAGTAACATAAGAGTTGGGGTACTATGTCAAATATATCTCAAAAGAGCTGGGGAAAAAAGAGTTGAGATCTTCTTAACCATTTTTTTTAGTAAGACTTTATAATGAGTGAGCACTTTCTTTGAATAAAAGCAACATTTGTCAAGCTTGTTAGAAGCAAGGTGACATATGGTCTAAGTATAAGGAATGGACTTGCTACGCAGGAGCCATGATGACACCCTCCAGGGAGGGCTCGTGGCTCCTGGGCGCAGGACTGTCCATCTCAGCTTCCTCCAAGTGAGCCAAGGACTAGCCCTTCCAGCAAATCTCACTCAGTATTTCTTGACCTCTAACAGGGTGCTAACGACAGTGATTTTCATAAGATTAAATAGATCTTTGTGCTATGTGCTTAAACAGTGCTGGGACACAGAGGGCGTTCCATAAATGCTAACTCTAGTAAGCATACATAAGTCCCATTACATATTCATAACCACAGCGGAGACATGGAGCAAATGTTGGCGAGACAGAGAATGAAAGAGTCCATGAAAATTTCCAATCTGCGTTTAAAGTATGAAGGCAGAGCGATCTGGGCAAACGATGTGGATACGTGTCAGGAAACAAGCCCAGGGCAGAATGATCCCCACGCAGGAGACTCCTGTTCTTATACCACAGGCTGTATAATGCCGCTGCCAGGACCCTCAGGAAGCGGCAGCCTTCTGTCTACAGTGGTAATCTTGGAAATGAGATACGGCTGGCTTGGTCTTGGGCCGTTTCCTTTCTCCTCCTTTCCAGCCACTTTGCTTTTAGTCTCTTTAGTAAAGGGAGGGAGCTACTCATAATACAGAAAGTACTACTACATGTGGGAGAAAAGCCCAGAGATGCAAACTCGAAGCAGTAAATAGTTAGGCTTCTCCCTGTTTGCATTGGTTAAGATGAAGCTTGACTGGTTTATCATATCCTTAAGCCTCTACTTTAGGATTCACTTCGAGGCCAACAGGCTTACACTGAGCCTCCGATAGAAAGTATCTGACG